TTTCTGCATCTTCCATTGTTTCCCTATAGTTGTTATTACATTCATAGTTTTTACTTTTTACAAAGAAATTAAATGAGAGCACTCTTGTGGGTCCTTTGTTCCCAGTGGGTAAATCAGCCCAGGGACTCTGACAGCAGTGAGCTATGCATGGTGGGGGGAGCTCCCCTGGGAAAGGCATAAGAGATGCAGATTCCTAGGCCTGGTGCCTAAGAGTCAGGCTCTGTAGGTCTGAGATGTGGCCCAGGAGTCTGCATCATGATAAGTACTGCTGGTGCTCTCATCAGATGGTGTCTTTGGGGGCAAGAGACATTGCCAGTCTTTTAAATTTTATCTGTTATTCACCTTTTAATTTCATACATTAATGGGGTTGTATAATGCATTGATCAAATCTAACCTCTTTTTGCACCCCACCCCCCTGCTCAGCAATTACTATTTTAGTTTCAGGCTGGACTTTTTTCAGCTTCCGCATAGAGTGGAGCATATAGTATTTGTCTTTCTCTGTGTGGTTCATTTCACTTAATGCAATGACCTTCATTTCTGTCCACATTGCTGCAAATGACAAGATTTCATTCCTCTTTATGGCTGCCTAATACTCCATTACAGATGGAGGCCATGTTTCTGTTTCATCCATTCATCTGTTGATGGGCACCTAGGTAGGTTCTGTATTTTGGCTGTTTTCTTTTTTTTTTTTTTTCAGTTCTTTTATTTTTTATTTATTTAATTTATTTATTTTTTAATTTTTTGGTACTGGGGATCGAACTCAGGACCTTGTGCTTGCAAGGAAGGCAGCAGAACCGCTGAGCTAAATCCCCGGCTTGGCTGTTTTCAATAGTGAATCAATAAACATGAGTGTGCAGCTATCTCTTTGGTATGCTGATTTCGTTTCCTTTGGATAAACACCCAGGTGTGGGATGGCTGGTTCCTAGGGTGGTTTTACTTTTAGGTTTCTGAGGAACTGCCGCACTCTTCTCCTTAGTGGTTGTAATAATCTACACCCCACTGGCAGTGTATGAGAGTTCCTTTTCAGCCACAACCTTGCCAACATTTAAAACAACTTTTTGATAGTTGTCTTTCTAAGTGCATGGGATTGTAAGTACATGGGATTCAGTGGGAACTCACTGAAGTTTTGACTTGCATCTCCCTGATGGTTAATGACAGTGAGCATTTTTCATGTGTTTGTTGGCTGTATTTCTTCGAGAAGTGTTTGATCAGATCAGTTGCCCATTTTAAAATTGTATCATTTGTCTAAGTTTTTTGAGTTCCTCCTGTCTTCTGGATACTAACCCTTTGTCAGATGAATGATTGGCAAGTATTTTCTCTTGTTCTGTAGGCTGTCTCTTCACCCGACTGTCTCCTTTGGTATGCAGAACCCTTTTAATTTAATATAAGCCAGTGAGAACCAAGATCTGTCACGTAAAGGTACAAGATCCCAATGAGGAATGTAACTGTATTGTATACTTAAAAAGTACCAATAAACTCAATGAAAACAGCATTAATATAAGCCTATCGGTCAGTTTTTGTGTATGACTCCTGTGATTTTTCCACCACAGCCTTTAAAGTTCAGACTAATGCCCGTATGTGCTGGGTGGCACACACAGATCTTCCCACTGTCCCAAGTTTATTTCATCATCCCTAATGTGTGGAGGATGACACCCACCCCCGTGGTGTCACTGGGAGGCTTGCGAGTGCCCGCATCTCACACCTGGAGAAGCAGCTGAAACCTTGGTTCTGAGGCAACAGGCGGAATTATGCAAGTGCTATTCCGGAACATGGTGAGGGCTAAGTCAGCAGGGAGGACAGGCTGCAACCCACAGAGCAAAGCACCGTGCCGGGAAAGGAGCATTCGCATTTCTGTGCAATGTTCTGGGAATCAGAAGGGTGAAGGTGCAGACAAAGGGACTCAAAGTGACCTATGATCCCAGCACTGTGGGAGGCGGAGGCAGGAAGACTGTAAGTCTGAGATCATTCTGGGCAATTTAGTAAGACCCTGTCTGAAAACGAAAAAATAAAAAATGGGCCCAGGAGATGAAGTGAAGGCTCTGGGTTTAATCCTGAGTACCTAAAATCGAAAACAAACAAACTAAGAAGTCACACGTAGGGTGATTCTAGCAATAAAAAACCCCAGCCAAAGGAGGAAGAGGGGATAGGAATATTTATTCCCCAGTGTCTACACTGCGCCTTTGCAGTCAGTCGGCTGCTCTCATCTCCTAACAGCCTCTCCCCTTCTCTTCAGATCTACCTGTGGTAAAACCACTCCACATCACCACCTTGATACCGCTCTATTTCTTTGAGGTTTTCCTACAAGTGCTACGCACATCGTTGCCTATGCCGTCCATCCTTGGTACTCACTGTAGCTATGTTCTATAAAGTTGCCTCAAACACTGAGTCAGCGAGTAGGGAATGACGGTTCCCCAGTTTAAGCTTCCTGGGCGTCTGTGGCTCCAACGTTTTTGTCAATGGACCGACACACAGCCTCATTTGATGTGTTTCTGTTTAAAGACACCGTAGCGTACATACAGTCCATTCATTCACACTGAACTCTCAGGCCTTGTAAGTCACACCTGCATGAAGCTTATCTGACATGAATGTTTTCCCACCTTAGGGACATTCAACTGCATTTCAGCACCACATCCACGGGCATTTTAAAAAGCAGAATTAGCAACAAAAAGCACAAAAAAGCAACAACACATGGAGCTAAGTAGACGGTGACAAGGATGCTTGCGCTGTGTGAGACGGCATAGGGAGGGCTGGTGATGTTGGTGGTAAACAGAATTTACCAACAGACCAGAAATATGGAGAAGGTGAGTTCAGTTAGGTCAGGGGACACTGTCAATAGAGACAGGGTGATTTTCCAAGAGAGGAACTGCGCCATCAGGGTTTTTATCGGTTGGGGGATGTAGAAAGAGTAGCAAATGTGATTTATCTAAAGAATGTCTTTTCCTAGCTCTTCTAGCACCCTGTAGTCTTCCAGGAACACCTGCATTGTGTCTAATCTTGTAGGTTTAGAGTAGCAGTTTTTTCTTTGTTGTTTTTTTGAGACAGGGTCTCACTATGTAGTTGAGACTGACCTGGAACTCACTATGTAGCCCAGGCTGGTCTCGAACTCACAGGGATATTCCTGCCTCAGCCTCTCGAGTGCTGGGATGACAGATGTGCGCCACCATGCCTGGCCCTACAGCAGCAGTTTTGACAAGGCCATTTTCCTCTGGCTTACAGAAGCTTTTAGCTTTAGATTAAGGAGGTGGTAAGGAGGTCTGTAGGTATCTTACAGAAGATCGCTTGGGACTTCTTGGGAGGAATGAATGGAGCTTACATCCATATTTTTGTTGCTGTCTTATGACCACTTATACCAGGAGTGGGATGTCTGAGTTCTGCTGTTAAGGGTTTTAACCTTTTAGTTCCCAATGGGCACCACTACAGTTTGTGTATCATAAAAGTGTTGAAACAAGCAAGCAGGGTGTTTGACCGGCTCATTTGATTCCAACTGGGGGAGAATTGAACATCAGGTGGCTAGAATTTTGTGTGGCTCTGTGCATGCCTGCGAATGGCCGCATAACCATCACTGATTTTTGAGATGGGATTTTTTTTTTTTTTAGTGAATAGATGAATTCACAAGTATAGCACATATGATTAGTGAGGACGGGCTCTCAAGTCTTTACTAAATTTGTTCAAACAGAGTGTGCTATCTATGTGCTCCCCGCTGCTATTCTGATCAGTACAGGGAAGGAGGGCTAGGAGGAAGGATGCTAGTGTGGAAGTGTGAGCCCCACAGAGCCCTTGAACCCCACAGGCTGTGGGGCCCCTCTTTGAAATAAGGAAGCTGACCGCAGTGCTCAGCAGTTCAGAGACACACACAGCTGCTTTGCGCCCCAGCTTGGTCGTCCTGGGCAGGAGGCTTTTTGACAAGCATTTCCCTATCGAATGGGCACAACTGAGCTCATCTCCATGTGATCGTCATGGAGACTCGTGACAATCCTGGTCCCTGCTCACAGTGTGGAGCAAGAGAGAGGGCATGGAATCCGACTGGGGATGTAGCTCAGCGGTGGAGTGCCCCTGGCTTTGATCCTCAGTACTGAAAAAAAAAAATTACACTGTTTTTGGGGAGTAAGGACCAGAAAAAAAATCTGTACATGTTTAGGATCGATGCAGTTTTTTTCCTGAACATTTCAGTTCGAGGTTGTTTGAATTCTTGGATGAAGAGCCTGTGGGTATGCACGGCCAGCTGTTTTATGGCTACAAATAACATCCCCTTTCCTGTGCTACCCTCTGGCATCTTCTCTGGGAGATCGGTTAATCACAGCTCTACTTAAATGTTGTGTAGGTGGTGTCCACAAGGACTTGGGCCCACACAGGAAGGAGTGAGCTACCAGGGTGTGGGTGAATGCAACCAGGGCAGGCTTCCTGTGGGTGGCCACGCCAGAGCCTCACCCCTAAGATCAGGTTGACAGCACTGTGGTGTCCTTGAGGTAGGGACCACATCCTTGCTCACCGCTGAACTCAGCGGCCAAGTGCACAGCCTTGAACCCCGTGGGGTTAGGGTCGCAGCAGGGCCCAGGGGAATCTTCCTTAGGGCACAGGCTCCAACATCAGCCATGAAAGTGTCACCTTTGTGTGACCTTGGGCAAGCCTCTCTGCACCTCCATTTCCTCAGTCTTGATAAGGAGCTGCTGATAACAACAGCTTAAGTTCCCTTGCAATTTAGGATATGCAGCAGCTGCGCCACCTACCAGGTTTATGAACTCATCAGTCCTGACCAGAGCTGTGTGAGTGAGGTGGTTGCCGAGGGGCTTCTCACTTCACAGGTTCTCTGAGATCACAGAAGGGCAGTAACTGGCCCCAGGTCAACTAAATACAAACTGGAGAGCCTGGGTTTGAATCCCGACAATCTGGGGCCCCAAATCCATCCTGTTCACTTCTAGGACACATTGTCTAAATGTGTTGTAAAGGTGAGTGATTGACGCACAGTGGGTGCCTAAGAAATGACACTTAGGATCTTTAATTATAATTTGGCTGGAGGGAAAGTGAGTCAGAGAGGAGGGAGGGCCACTGAGCAAGCAGCCTCCTGTCCACAGGGCCCAGCCCACGAGGACAAGCAGGCCAGGGGTCGGGACCTGCAAGTATCACTTAGGCACAGCGCTGGCCTTGCTTCGCGCTGGAGGGTGGGCTCGCGGGTCCCAGTCTTCTACCAGGAGCTGCGCCTCCTGGTAGCACACGTGCGGGTGCCGCTGGCGATGGCGCAGGCGCACCACGCTGTGGTCCACCTCATGCCCGATCTTCTTGCAGTTGTGGCTCCAGGAGAGTTTATCGCGCGCAGCAAGCAGCTCCTTCAGGTTCTTTTCCACATGCAGGATGTGGCGCTGCAGCTGGTCGGTGCCCTAGAGAGGTGGTGGGACGGTGACGGGGGACCAGCCAGCCCCAAGCGGAGGGCGGGGTGCTATTTGGGGTGGGCGGACACACCTAGGCTAGGTGCGCGGGTGGACCAAGCATGACAAAAGTGGGACGGGACTCGGAGGAGGAGTCACACTTGGGGCTGGTGTGCGCCATCCGGGAAGAAGCGGCCCAGGAGCGGTGCACCCCTTACGGCGGG